TCCTAAGAAGGTAGAGGGAAGCAAGGCCAGGTTGTGAAAGGTTCCATGGACCAGAGTAAAAAGCTTGAATTTTATTCTAAGTGTAATGAGCAGCCAATGGAGAGTTTAAGGCAAGGGAGTTACAAGCTCTGATTTATGTTTTTAAAAGTTCACTCTGTGTGGACATAGATCACGCAGAGAGGAAACAGGGAGAAAGAAAATAAAAATAGTCAAGGCAACAGATAATGATGGTTTGGGTTAGAGTGGAAGAGGCTGCCTGGTAAGGAGTCAGATATTGGGTAAATTTTTAATATAAAGCAGATGGCATATGTGAAGGATGGAATGTGACACGTGAGGAATAGGGAATAATTAAGGACAACTTCTAAGTGTTCTCCTTTAAGAGCTGGGCAAATGGTACTGTGATGCTTTACTCAGATGAAGAAACTTAGAAGATAAAAGGATTAGTGGGGAGAAGAAAATCAAAAGTTCTGATTAGGACACATGAAGTTAGAGTTGCATTTTAGACATCCAAGTAGAGATGTTGAGTAGGAAGTTGGTATGCATGTTTCAAACTCAAGGAAAATTTTAGGGCTAAAGATATATATTGAGAAGAGATCATTAGGGATAGAGGATATCCTAAGGACTGAACTTGGAGAACTACAACATTCAGAGGTCAGGAAAAAGGAGAAAAGCTAGCAAAGCAAACAGGGAACCAATGAGGAAGGTGGAAAATTAAGCCCAAGAAACTGAGTAAAGAAAATGTTTGGTTGCCTTTTGGTTTTGTTGATGGCTTCTTTTGCTGTTCTGAAGTTTTTTAGTTTGATGTAGTCCCATTCATTTTGGTGAATGATTGGATAAAGAAGATATGGTACATATATATATTAAGGAATACTACTCAGCCATAAAAAAGATGAAATACTGCCATTTGTGACAACATGGATGGATCTTAAGAGTATTATGTTAAGTGAATAAGTCAGAAGGAAAAAGACAAGAACCATATGATTTCACTCATATGTGGCATATAAAACAAGCAACAAGCAAACAAACTCATAGATACAGACAACAGAATGTTAGTTACCAGAGGCAAAGGGGGCTGGAGTGGGGCGGGATGAATCAGGTTATGGATGTCAAATATGTGATAGGAGACTAGACTTCGGGTGGTGGGCACACAATAGAGTATACAGATGTCATATTATAAAGATGGACACCTGAAACATATAATGTTATTATTAACCAATGTCACCCTAACAAATTTTTAAAGAAAAGTGTTTGAAAGAGAAGGGAGTGATCAACTGTGTCAAGTTCTGTTAAGCTGAATAAAATGAAGACTGAGGCCTAGTCACTGGATTTCACAAAGTGGAGGTTGTGACCTTGAGGAGAGCAGTTTCAGTAGTGGAATCAAAAGCTTAAAGAATGAATGGAGGAAAAGGAAGTAAATTACTAAGTTTTCTAAATAGCAAAGTCACAAAACAAAACAATATCCCTAAAAAACATGGGTTTTGGGGAAACAAGAATACATTTTCATATTGCTTGTATATACACAGAACATCTCTAGAAAGAAACACAAAAAACTGCTAACACTCTGGTGGCCTCCAGAGAGGACAGGTAGCTAGCAGAGGCACATAGGTGGGAAAGGCTGTTGACTTTATACCCTTTTGTACTTTCTGAATTTTTATATTTCCAAGAATAATCTATCCAAATAAGATGTTTAAAAATTAGATGTTTAAATTAGATGTTTAAAATGAGCTTTGAATTAAAGCATATCTAGGTTTGTACATCTGCTCTACCACTTACAGTTATGTGATCTTATAAAGTTGCTTAGCCTTTATAAACCTTGTAAAATGAGTAATATAGTGGTACTCGTATCATACCCATGTCATAAATCATTCAATCAAAGTAGCGTACTTAGCGCAATGCTTGATATATTCTACGTGCTCATGAATTTATTTTTATAAATCCTCTCTTTTAAGCTTGTTTCCTGAAAATAGGGATTGTACTACCTGTTTCTCAAGGGTTGATGATTAAATGAAATTAAATAATACCGAAAGTATTCAACAAATAGCAGGTGCTATTACTATTACCATTGCAATTATCATTATAAATGAATACTCTGATGAATCCATGAGTTGTCTTAATGAGGTATGCATGTACAGGCTACCTGTAGCAAACCTGGCTTCTTCCATACCACTTGCAACCCCCACTTCCCTTATAGACTCTAAGCAAGGTCAACTGACTAATTCAACGATCAATGTTTGAGTACCTAATATATGCCAAGCACTTGGGTAGAAGTTGTGGAAACAGAAAAAAAAAAATTATACTGTACTTTCTCTTAAAGAGATAGGTAAATGATTACCATTTAGTCAGTGGAAATAATACAACAGAGCTATAGACAAATGCTATGGAAATAAAGTTACGGTACCATCTAATAAGAATGCCCAATGACAACTTCAAGAGGATAAGCCCTTTCATGAAGTATTGTGGTAGCAGCATAGAGTGAGTATCACCTTTTGCTGATAACACTCTTTTTGCCTGGCTACTACCTCCTTTTCCAGCCTCCACTCAGACATCAGTTCTTCTGGCAAGCCACTCTTGTACCCCTCAGACTGGGTTGGGTGACTGCTCCTATCTGTACTTACTTCATGGGAGTACTAAGTACATTAATGGAAATGACTTCACTTTTCAGTCCTTCCAACTACCTTGTGCTCATTATCATATTCCCAAAGCATACTACAGTGCCTGGCACAGAGTTTTTATTGACCAGTGAATAAATGAATTAACCTTGGGCAAGTATTTTAAGTCTATTTCCATGTATTTTAAAGAAGCAGCAATTTGCTCTGAAGGGCATATGGAGAATAAAGAAGGCCATGTTCTCATTTATGCTAGCACCAGAATCTAGAGCCAACTGACCAACAATCTCGATGAGATATGCCAGGATCACCCCATCCCGAAGATCCTGTCGCAGGTCCTGCACAGGCTTCACTGCTGGCCTCTTCTTCAGCTGTGCATTCACCCAGGCCACGTAGGCCTGTAGCTGTTGCTGGAAAATGAAAGGCGAAAATGAGGAAAAGGTTACATATTTTCTTAACATCTACCCTGCACCCTCTAAGGCAGCATTTGAGACTGAGCTATGGTGGGCAATCTATATCCAGAGGGAGGAGGAGAAGGTTTTAAGGGAAGAAGGAAGAAAGGTGGTCAGACGCGGAGCATGTTCTAAAACTGTCTAGTTTTATGCTAGTCTCTAAGGATAAGCTAACCTCTGACCTGCATGGCAATGTACACACAGATAAGCAGACGAATGTCTCAATGACTAAGACTCCTTCTTCCCTTGAGTTTTGCTCTATTGACCAGGGATGAGAGCCCAGCCCAGAACCACAGCCAGTTTTGGGGTATAATCACTGTGGCCAGCAATCTATCACGCTTCTCAGGAACGATCACTCATGTCCCGTCTGCACAATGGACTGTGGGACTCATAAGAAGTGAGCTTGGAGAATCAGGAATAAACAGCAAACCAAAGTCAGAACCGCCTCTCCCATAGCTGCTTTCTTCACAATAAGACTTAACTGAAACCATCTCACACTCAACTTAAGATTTATTCTCCTGAGCCCATAATTCTGGGATTGCTAGAGAGTTAGTTTTAATCCATGCTTTATATTGTCAAAGAGGATTTAGTCACCTAAAACCTATAAAAAGAAGGAAAAAAAAGGCCGTTGTGAGCAGTGTGCTTGAAGACTGAGGAAGCCGGGTTGGGGTGGGGGAGTGGGGGAGAACAGGCACTTTTGTTTGTTTTCAGACAAAGCACGTTAGGCCCAGATTGGGACGTATAACTCATCCCAACCCTCGGCCAACCTTACATATTCAATCTGTCCCTAAAACAGAGTGGTATGCGGGTGTTTATTCTGATTATTTGGTCTGAAGATGAGCACTAAATATCAAAATAGCACATTAAAAATGTCATAATATAGGCAGCAGTTCTGTCTGGTTTCTGTAGAACTCAAGACCCTAAACCTAAAATTTAAGTTCAAGGGCTAACAGTATTAAATTATAATTTGGTTAAAGTACAGTTGATTTCTAAGCCCCACGTACTTCCTTAATAAAATGATATTGGAAATTATGCACTGGCTGCTTCCTGAGCTTAAATTAAATCTTCATTATTTTATCTACGTTGATTTGTGGGAATAAAGTCCTTTGGAAGACACTACTAAGACAATAATCTACTAGCTACTGACAAACTACAGGAAGTACAGTGATCAGCAGAAGGTGGGGGGAGGAATCTAATATTTAGTGAATAACTACCATGAGCTGAACACTAGTTTTGGTATTTTACACGTTTTAATGAGCTAATGAATATACCTGGAACAGGGCTGCTACACAATTGATACTTACTAAATGGTCATTATTATTTTAATAATTTATAATCTTATTCAATTCTCACAAAAGCACTGAAGGTTCAGCACCATCTCCAGTCTATGGATGAAGTTCAGAGAAGTTATATATTTTCTTCAATATCCTCAATGCTAGGACATAGCAGACCTGGTATTGAAACCCAGTATATGTGGTCCAAGCATTTACTGATGGCCTCTTGCTATCTAACTCATTCCACAGAACAGAAGCGGCTGCACCTTCTGCCTAACATGCGCCAGGCTCCTTTCCAAGGTCTGCTCCCACTGCCCGGCCAAAGCACTGCGTGAGGTAGACCAGGCAAAGGGCACTTCCACAGTAAACCACTCTGCTCTGGGGAGAAGGAGTTATAAACAGAAAGGTACTAAGAGTAACTAACAGCTAGGATCTGATTTAACTTGCTCATGTATAAAAACTCCTAACCACGTATAAACAAAAAGCTTCTAACCAATCTCCCTGTAGCTAATATCACCTTCAACCCAGTCTCTACACATTCCTTCTTAAAATCCTTCACTGGTCTCTCATTATCCTTACAATAAAATCCAATCTCCTAAACTGCATCAAAGTCTGTCATGTGCTAACTCTTGCCTCTTCTCCAGCTCCACTACTACTCTCCCATATACTCCCACTCCATGCTTCAGCTCATCTAAACCATGTGCAGTGCCCCCAATCCACCACGCTTTCTAGCCACTCAACCACCCCCCGCCTAACATCTCCTTTTAAGTCTCAGTTCAAGTATTACCTTTTCTATAAAGCCTTCCCTGACCCTCCCACACACCTCAGACTCTGGTCTCCTTAAGGGTGTCCTGTCACATAAACAGTTCGACAATAATTTGAGTGCAGGCACTGTACTAAGTTACGGGGCTACAAAGAATTTTAGGCCTCCAAGAAGCTTGCAGGGGAAAAAAGGAAGATGGGAAGAGGAGAAGAAGCTTGTGGCTGGTAGAGAGACAAGTGCTTTGACAGGGGTGCTTAGGATGCTAAAAGAACACTTTGAGGAGTTTCCTTGAGGGAGGAAAAGAGACTAAGAGGACAGTGAGCCCATAGGAGCTCAGGTCTGAACGATGCTCTATGAAGGGAGTTAAAACGGTTCAAAAATTACTGGACTCAGAGAAATGGGTTCTCAACAAATATTTGTTTGAATCAGTGAATCATTTGTCAGGTCATCAGACCAAGACTTCGAATGATTGCAAAAGTTAATTATGCGGGGGCAGACAAGAACAAGTAGTTCTCATTAGGCCGAGATAATTTCTACTTAAGTAACCATAGCCTTCTAGGGGCTGTTGAATAGAAGTCGTCTCTAATACAAAAGTGATTAGAAGTTCCTAACAGTACTTTCCATACACATTAATCACTGCTCTGGTCTTCCAACAAAAGAGGATTCTACAACATAAACGATAATAGTCACTTTTTGGAACACCTATTCTGTGTCAAAGGCTATGCCAGGTCTTTAAACACATTTTCTTTAATGATAATTTGCCAGGGAGATTTTATTGTATCTATTTTGTTAAGTGGAAAGTGAGACTCAGAAAAGGTGAAATAACTTGCTCAAGGTCACCCAAATCGTAAGCTACAAACAGGAAATTCAGTCTAACTCCCAAGCCAATACTCTTTTCCACTCTATCACAGGATTACCTAAATAAAAGCACCTCTGAGTTTTAAGTGACCTCACTTGAGGTCACTTGAACTCTCAGAACGGAAGGCACCTTAGTCTAAATCACTTCCTCCACCACATCCAGTACTTGAATCTCTTGTGTAATACTCTACACTAAGTAGCTATCTACTACTCAAGTGTGATCCTCAGAGCCTGGCGAGAAAGGCAGAATTTAAGGCTCCACCCCAGCCCTACTAAATCAGAAACTTTACTTTTAAAAAGATCCCCTGGCGATTCACAGGCACGTTAAAGGTCGAGAAGTTTGATCCAGCCCACTCTTCCCACACCTGGCTGCACATGAAAATCATAATGGAAGCTTTTAAAAAATACTGATGTGTAGACCTTACCCCAAATCCACCAAATCATCTCCAGAGGGTAGAACTCAAAAAATTTTATTTTGCCAAGCTCCCCCATGATTCTTGTAGAGCTAACTTGAGCTTTCTAGCTAGAGATTCCAATTCCCTTAACCAAGGGTTCTCAGCCCTGATTACCCATCAGAAACACTTGGGAAGCTTTTAAAAAATGCCACGTCTGGACTACCATCGTAGACTACTCAGAATTTCTGAGGGTGGGGACAGGTATATCAAGATTCCTTAAGTATTCCCAGGAACATACAGAGTTGCGAGCCAGGGTTAATTATTCTTTACATAAAATGGTTTCAAGTATTACTGATATTCCTGTCTAAACCTCTCTGAAACCATGACATCTACAACTTAATACAGTACTCTGTGTATAAAAGGAGACTTGCAAATTTCTCATTCAAGGTATTTATCCTTTTTTTCCCCCTTCTTCCTTTTCTTTCTTTCCTTCCTTGGCCACCAGAATACATTGTTGACACACACTAGGGGGTTATTCAGAACCCCTAAATATTATTTTCATTTTACTGTTTATTCATTTTGAAATAATTTCAGACTTACAGAAAAGTGGCAAGAATGGCATAGAGTTCCCCTATACCCATTACCCACCTTCCCCAAATGTTTACATCTTACATAACCATAGTACAATGATTAAAACAGGAAATTAACACTGACACAATACCATTAAGTAATTTACAGACCTTATTCAAATTTCACCGATTGTTTCACTAATGTCCTTTTTCTGGTCCAGGATCCAATCCAAGATCTATCTCACACCGCAATTAGTTGTTATGTCTCTTTACTCTCTTCCAATGTGGGACAGTTGTTAAAGTCTTTCATATCTTGAAAATTTTGAAGAATATTAGCCCAGATATTTTGTACAATGTGCCTCAAATTCAGACAACTGGTTTCGTCTGAAGTTTCCTAATGATTAAATTCAGGTTACAAATTTTTGACAAGAATACCACAAAAGTGATATTGTGCTCTTCTCAGTGCATCTCATCAAAAGTCACATGACGCCAATACATCTTATTATTGGTGAAATTACCTGTGATCACTTGGTTAAGGTATTGTCTTCCAGGTTTCTCTGCTGTAAAGTTGCCGTTTTTTCCTTTGTAATTAATTGTCTTGTGGGAAAATGCTTCGAGACCATAAAAATATCCTTTGGTCATCATCACTTTATCTGTCCATTTTAAATTTAACATCCATTGATTGTTCTTTCTACCAACGTTATTATGGTGTTCCCCAATGGTAATTTTCTAATCATCATTCCTTCTACAGTTATTGGAATTCATAATATGAGGAAGAGCTCCTCTCTTTTCTCCCATTAATTTATTTATTTACATAAGTATAGCTCATACATATTAATTTTATTTTTATTTATTATATTAATCCATTACTACCATTATTTTGCTGCTCAAATTGTTCAGATTTGGCCATTGGAACAAATATTGGCTTCTTCATGTTGGTTCCTGTATTTTTTTCATATGTCTCAGTCATTTTTTTTAAATTGTGGTAAAAAACACATAACAAAATTTACCATCTTAACTATTCTTAAGTGTACAGTTCAGTAATGTTAAGCACATTAACATTATTGTGCAAAGAATCTACAGATCTTTTTAATATTGCAACCGAAACTCTATATCCATTAAATAACATTTCCCCATTTTCTCCCTCCTCTCAGCCCCTGGCAACCATCATTCTAATTTCTGTTTCTATGAATTTGACTACTTTCAACAACTCAGATAAGTGGAATCATATAGTATCTGTCTTTTTGTGACTGGCTTATTTCACTTAGAATAATGTCCTCAAGGTTCATCCATGGTATAACATGTGACAAGATTTCCTTCCTTTTTAAGGCTGTCATGGTGTAACATGTCCTCATGGTGTAACATGTGACAAGATTTCCTTCCTTTTTAAGGCTGAATAATATTTAATTGTGTGTTTATACCATATTTTTTTTATCCATCCATCTGTTGATGGACATGCTCTTTGCTACTATGAAAAATGTTCCTACAAACATGGGTGTACAAATATCTCTTCAAGAACCTGTTTTCAATTCTTTTGAATATAGACCCAGAAGTAGGATTACTGGATCATATGGCTTGATCATTTTTTTAAGCACTTCCTTACACTCTGGTATCATAAGATACTCCAGATTCCTCATCTTGTACTTTCCCTGCCCCGGCTCTGGAATTAGCTATTTCCCAAAAGAACTCTGGTTCTTTTTTATAGAGAATAGTTTTTAGAAACCAAAATTTGGACATGAGGTATGCTCATTGCTACTGGGAATAACATTCTTGTCCCTTGTAGCAGTAGTGTAGGAAATATGTATATGTATATACACATACATACATACCTATATCTACTTATCTTAATAGAGACACATCATGAATTATATCATATATTATACTGATCCCTCCTCCAACCCAACACCACAGGGTTCATTCTTTCCTCTCCTTTTTCCTTTTGTAAACTCCTTTCTCCCACAATGAAAAATCTGACTCTCAGTATCCACAATATATTTACTAATATTTGCTCGATTCTAGAAAACACATAAAATAGCATCAAACTTCTAAACAATACCTTATGGAAAAAAAATTTACTAACCATAACATAATATTTATACATAGTTGTCTTTAGCTTTACAGTACTTAGTCAAAATACTGCTTCCAAAATGACTTAAGTTAGTTCTTTTCTTCTCCATCCCTTCATTGAGGTTATATTATTCATGTGTAACTCAGGTTCATTTCTTACCATTTGTAGTCCACTTTGGGTTCTCCCCACATTTAGGTTGATTTTAATTATCTATTTTGGGGTTAGGTAAAAGATTAACATGATTCTAAAAGTCTGAGGACACAAAAACATATATTCAGAAAAGTGTCACTCCCCCAAAATTCTTTCTACTCCATTCCCTTTTCTCTGTTCTTTCCAGCCCATTACTATCCAACCGTGTAAGTAACCAATCTCATTAGTTCCAGTTTATCCAGAAAAAAAATACATATTTTCTTACTTCCCTTTTCTTCTTATATAAAAATAATACAGTATTGATATTTTTTGCACTTGTACTTTTCATTTAATGTTCACTTAATATATTCTAGAAATCACTCTAATTGATATAGAGATCTTTCTTATTCATTTTTACAGAAACATAGTACTCCATTACATGGATATACCACGGTTTATTCAATCATTTTCTTATATTTAGACATTTAAGTGTTTTCCAATATTTTGCATTTAAAACAATGCTGCAATGAGTAACCTTATGCATGTGCATTTTCATGTTGATGGAGGTCTATCTTCAGAGTAGATTCCAAGAAGTGAGATTGCTGGGTAAAAAAGCAAGTAAGTAAATAATATTATTAGATATTGCCAAATTCCCTGCAAGAAAGGTCATATCCATTTGCAATCCATCAGCAATACATGAGAGCATGCTTTCCCACAGACTTGCCAACAGAATACGTTGTCATACTTTTTAATTCTTGCCAATGTGATAGGTAAGAAATTGTATCTTAATCTTGCTTCCATTTTCATCTCTTTAATTATAAGTTTGAAGCTCTTTTTGTACTATTTTGAACCACTTTATATATTTTATATCTTTTTGCATATCTACATAAACTGTTCATGTTGTTTTCTATATTTCTATCAAAGTTTTTGGTCATTTGTCCCTCCATTTAAAATAATTCTTTATATGTTAGGAATGTGTTACCCTTTTGTCTTTGATATATGTTGCAGATAATTCCCAGTTTGTCAGCTGTCTTTTGACCTTTTTTTACAGTGGGTTTTTTTGGGGGGGAAGGCATGAAAAAGTTTTTATTTTTATATAATCACATTTATTGATATTTTATTTTATTGCCTCTGAATTTTGAGTCATGGTTAAAAATAGAAGAATTCACCTCTGTTTTTTTTCTAGTTCTTGTATGGTTCCATTTTTTACATTTGGATCCCTAATCCACTTGGAGTTTATTCTTGTGTATGATGTGAGATATGGATCCAATTTATCTTTCTTCAAATGGCTACCAAGTTGTTCCAGCACTATTTATTAAAAAGTTTCTCTTGAGTTAGAACTTGGGAGCAGACGTGAAACTTCACCTGCAGAAGGAATCTGTCTCAACAACTGAACAGACAATTTCCGTTATGCAAGTCAAATCAAGAGAGAAACATGTCAGAAAGAATACAGGCTCTTCTGGAATCAGAGTCAGTGACTCTTCATTGAAAGTTCAGGACAGACAAACGTCCAAGGAAAGAACTCTGGGGCCGCTCAGGGAAGGGACTACCTCCTGCAAGAATTCCAGAAAGGGAGCTACAGGTATCTCTCAGAAAACAGGAGAGGGTAAGAATGGTGTCAGTCAGGAGTTCTAGAGTCTAGGGGAGTAGTCGTTTGGAGCTAGAAAGTAAAACGCACATTTTTTTTTTTTTTAATCTGAGATCAATCATAAAAAAAAATGTGCTATACTTAAAGGCCAGCTTTTCAGCATCTCCAGCCTCCATAGAGATCACAGAGGCACCAATGCCTGCAATGATCTTACTGCTTAAGCACTCTCTACTCATTCATAACTATTTCTCAGGTTTAATGTCAAATTTTTCACTTTGTCCTGCTGCCTCACATGGATTCCACTCTTTGACCTTTGGACAATACCTGACTTTTTATTTTAATTTCTTTTCAAGACTCTGTCTCTTGGCTTCATGTTTTGAGGATGTGTTTTTCCTCACCCAAAATAGTTCTGGGATAAAGCATCTTGAGTTATTTAATTCATTGAGCAGCATAGACACAAACCTGGAGCCCATGAGCTTTTCAGAGGCCCATAAAATGCTCGAGTCTTAAAAGAAATATGTATAGGCTCTAACCCCTTTAATAAAACTGGAAGATTGAAAGTAATAAATGTTTCATTAAAATTCACAAATATAAAAATATAGTCCTTTACCCCACAAAAAATATAGTCCTTTATCATATACTAAATTTCCGCAAGTTCTTGGGTATATATCTGGGCTTTGTATTCTATATCACTTGTGTATTTCTTTATTCAAGCACCAGTACTACAATGTTTTATTTATAGAAGCATTATAGTACATTTTAATGTCTAATAGGACTAGTCCCTCCCCCCCTTAAAAATATTTTTTAGTGTTTTCTTGACTATTCGTGCATGTTTATTTTTCCATATGAACTTTAATATCTATTTATCTAACTTCCAAACAAAAGGCTGGTAGAATTTTTATTGAGATTATATATATAAATTAATTTAGGGAGAACAGTTATCTTTATGATGTTGAATTATCCTAATCAAGAACAGGTGCTGTCATTTCATTTGTTCAAATATGTCTTTCAGTAGTGTTTTAATATTTTCTTCCCACATGTTTTATACACTTTTTGTTAAGTTCACTTCTAAGTATTCAATCTTCATTGTAATTATAGATGAGGTTTTCTCTACCATTATGTTTTCTATTTGTTACTTTTTGTGTATCTGAAAGCTACTGATTTCAATATGTTAATATTATAACCTGTTACCTTATCTTTTATTGTTTGAGTTTTGTCAGTGATTCTCTCCGGTCTCCAGAATTACTATCGTTATCATCTGTAAAAAGAAATAGTTTTACTTCATTATTAAGCCTTGTGCCTGTAATCAATTTCTTTAGTCTAATTGTACTGGCTAATAAGTGTGGCACAGTAATGAAGTAGAGATAGTGGGCATACTTCCCTTGTTTGTGGACTTAGAGAAAATACTTGAAGTGTTTCCCAATTTAGTAAGTTTTAGAACTAAGGTATATATATTTTCTCCTGTTAAGTTACTATCCATCGTCTTATTTTCTTGAGTGTTTTTATGAGGAATGAATGTTGAATTTTGACAGTTTTGTCAGCACTGATGGTGATAAGCTTATGATTATTTTCTCTGAGACCTATTAATATGGTACTATGTAATATTAATAGATTTCCTAATAATGAACCTGCCTTGTATTTTTGGAATTAAATCCACCTGATCATAGTAAATTATATTTTTAATGTGGTATTAGATACTGTTCGTTAATAAAATATTAGCGCTATATTAGTACTATATGTGTGGCACTTCATAGGTTTTCATAAGTTTTCTTTTTTGCACTGTATTAGATTTAGGTACCAATATTATCTTTGCTTCATATGAAGAAATAGGAAGTGTCTCTTTATTTTTAATACTCTGAAATAATTTATAGAGCTTTGGGACTATCTGATATGTGGAAGTTTGGTAGAATTCCCCTGTGAAAAAAATCGGGGCCTGGAATTTTGTTTTTTTCTTTTTGAAGAATAGTTCCTTAATAAGCTTCTCTTTTACTTCTAGAAAAATTGGTCTGTTTAAATTTTCTGCCTCTATCAGTTTTGATAACCAGAATTTCCCAAGGAAATTATTCATTTCATCAATATTTTAAAATGCATTTGCGAGATTGGATTAAACATGGCGGAGTGAGAGATGTTCCCAGATCTCTCCCCTTGAAACAACAATAAGCTGAACATCTAAAACTCAACAAAAAACACCGAAACTGTGCACCAGCACGTCTGAGCGTGGGATCTGCACAAAAGAGCTACCACAGGTCAGAACCCTGAGTGTCGGGCAGGAGACAAGGAGAAATAAAGAAGTTGCCTCTCGCAGCTGCCAGAGCTACCTGTAGGGGGAGGGAGAGGGGAGAACGTGCAGCAACATCCCTGAACAGCCCTGCCTGGGGATGCTGTGGCTCCACGCAGCCGGCAGCAGTGTTCAGCCATCAGGGTAGAAGGCAGAGAAATGGGGATGGCAGAAAAGCGGGGACAGCAGAGAAACACAGTTGATATTTACCAGCCTCAGTTGCAAAACGCAGACTAAGCTGTAGTCCCTATCCCCCAACCCAGAGTGCCCCTCCCCCACACCCTCTAAGACAGAACGCAGCAGAGCCCCAGGGGAATCTGAGCAAACACTAGAAACTGTCACTCACACCGACAGAAACTGAGACTGAGGGTAGCGAGTCTGATTAAACATCTATAAGGGAAAAAAAGACATTATTAAGATACTGAGGGACACTTCATAATGATAAAGGGAATCATGCACCAAAAAGACACAGCACTTATTAATATATATACTCCCAATCAGGGAGCCCGAAAATATGTAAAGTAATTACTAACAGAACTAAAGGTGAAACAGACCAAAACTCTATCATAGTAGGGAACCAAAATATCCCACTGTCAGATAGGGACAGATTGTCCAAATCGAAAAGGAGGCAGTACTTCCCAACTCATTTTATGAGGCCAATATTACTCTGATACCAAAACCTGGTAAAGATAACACAAAAAAAGAAAACTACAGACCAATCTCTCGTGAACACAGATGCAAAAATCCCTAATAAGATACTAGCGAACCAAACACAGCAACATATTAAAAAGATTATACACCACGATCAAGTGGGCTTCATCCCAGGGGTAAAGGGATGGTTCAACATACGCAAATCGATTAACGTGATACACCACATAAATTAAAAAATAAGAATCATATGATCATATCAATAGATGCAGAAAAAGCCTTCGACAAGATATGGGGTCCATTTATGACCAAAACACTTAACAAAATCGGTATAGAAGGAAAATATCTTAATATAATAAAGGCCATATATGACAAGACCTCAGTCAACATTATACTTAATGGTGAAAAACTAAAAACCTTCCCTCTAAGGCCAAGAACAAGGCAAAGCTGTCCACTATCACCATTGTTAATTCAATCTAATATTGGAGGTCCTGGCGAGTGCAATCAGGCAAGAAAAAGATATAAAAGGCATCCAAATAGGAAACAAAGAAGTCACTATTTGCAGATGACATGATTCTCTATACAGAAAACCCTAAAGACTCCACAAGAACACTACT